TTAAAATAACGTTTGTGAAAGTGTTCAATTTTAACACTCTTTTCTTTTTGTTAATTTAACACCAACCAGTGTTTAATATTCAACAATACTTGGTGTCACACTAACATAAAAATAGTGTTAGTGTTAAAATATAGTGTTAACAGTAACACCGTCAAGTGTTAGATATTCAGCAATACTGGGTGTCATGTTAACATTTCAACAGTGTTAAAATAAAGTGTTAAAAGTATCACCAGTGTATTATTATTATTAACAAAGGAAATTGTGGTGTTAGAAAAGTTTGCAGAAACCACAAGGTATTAATACACCATGAAACTGAGAGTGTAACTTTAACACTCAGAGTTAATATCAAACTCTCAGTCGTTAGTAGAAAAGTACAATGGAGTCACCCTTCTTCACACACCAGGATGTACCTCTCACTCATGGTGTAAATTTTTGGCCAATAACATAAACTTAAAGTTGAACAACTTGATCAAACTGAACAAGAAAACAAACCAGAACAACTAATTTTTACTCTCATGAACGTCTTTAACAGTCATAAACATGCAAAAACATCATTTCTGCAAGATTTCTCAGCAAGGAATGCTGGGTAAATACTGGTCTGTCCGACATGAGGTGGAAGAGGGCGGAGCTTTTCAGAATGCTTCTTTCAACACTMCATGGTGTCATATAACAACACTGTTAAGTGTTACATAAGACTTAACTGTGGGTGGAGCTTATTTAACACTGTCCAGTGTTGAGACAACACTGAGGAAATCAACACTGTGAATTAACACCAACACTGGGTGTGAGTGTACTCAGAAAGTGTTAAAATAACACTAGATGGTGGTAAATCAACACCCAAAAGTTTAACACTGAACTTTTAACACTCCTGTTTTTGCTGTGTATCCTTCCGTCAGTGCCCGAATAGAAAACCCAGGATGTAAACACCTGTTTGTGTGCAGTTGTGAGCATGCATGGATCTCTCCAATGGAATGTTTCAAAGTGAGTGTGGGGGGACCACAGACGTGACCCGCAAAGCCGGAAGCCAACATAAGGGAGACCAGTTCCAAAGAACCCGAGCGGGACACCAAGCACGCAGCCCCTAGGGACACCCGCGCCGGAAGAGCCGCCCACCCACCCCCCAAAGAGGATCTCCGGAGAGAACCGGAAGAGCCCCACCAGCGACCACATACAGCAACCCCTGGGGCCAGCAGTGGCGAACTCACAGGCCCCGCCGGTACCCACCGCGCCAGAGTGGGTCCAGGCACCGACACAGAGGCCCGGGCCCCCAGGCCGCACCCCACCTAGGCCAAGGCCCGATAGGACCAGGGGGAACCCAGCCCCACCGGGCAGCCACCGGGCCGAGCCGGCACATAAACAGAGTCTGAGTGGAGCTGAGGTGGCTCAGTGGTCAGTGCCTCCATCTTGTAATCCTGACTCTGCAGGCTGGAGCCCAGGTTGTGAAGTAAGGGCATTTGGAGTTAAATAGTTGCCAAATCCTTAAAGTGAGTTTGTTTGTTGTGGCAACCCCGAAGAAAGGACAAAAAAAAAAGAAAAGAAAAGCATGTCTAATTGTCAAGACTACATCTTGCTTTGAAGTCACACAAACCCTCAACAAGCAGCAACAGAACAGCAACTAAGTGATGTGTGGACATCAATGTGTGCATTATGGCAGAAAACTAAAAAAGATTTTTCTGAGTCCTGTTTTGTGAGTGCGATACAATATCTTACTGACCACTGAAACTAATGWGTAAGAATAGCTCGTTTATTCCATGCATTTAGACCAACTTGGTATTATTCAGAGAGGCTATGAGTCATAACAGTTAATCAATAACATCATATTGATTTGCTAAGTAGTCTATCCCAGCCTGAGGTGGCTCATTAAAGCGTGGGTCAGGAGGAAATGGATCTGTAACATCTTGAGCTTAATGRCACAGGATGTGGTATTAAATACAARTTTAATTTCTTCAAACTTACCMGTAATTTAACTTTTGCAGGCTCAAATAATTTTTTTCTTCTAGTTGTGCTTTATGACTTTATGCCACAAGCTTGGACTTTTTTAAAGGATGTTATTCAAATGCTGGACAGAGGAGGAACATCTTTTTGCAGTCTTAATGACTTTCTGCTTTTTTTCACTTGCCTGTCTATTTTATAGGCAAAATCCAAATCCATAGTAAAATGCTGCCACTTTCCAATTTTGTACACCTAAGATAGGAAAGAGGCTTTACAGAGCTTTACAGGCTTTGTTTTACACTAAACTATAGTTCATTTCAAACTCTAAAYAAACTGATTTCGTGCAGAAATCATGTTATTATAGCATCCAGGTCAATCATGTAACATTTTTATCACATTTAATAAAGGTTTGACCAAAAACCAGCTCAACAGACAAAGACCCTAAACCTTTTTTCAGCATTACTCATCTATTAACTTGTATTTAAATTAATCAGCCATAACACAAATGTAACAAAGACAGAGAAGAGGACTCATAAACACAGGACAGTGACCATCTCCAGGTCGTATCCAAGCAAGGAGGACATTTTATTTGGTTTGTGACATATTACATTTTTTTTATCAATTAAACTCAATCTGATGCAAAAACAGTGTTAGCCCAGCTCATTAATCATACTGATGAGCGAATCCTGCAAGGAACAGTAAGCTGCAAGTGAGATTGGTGAAGCAAAATGATCAGCAGTATTCTGGAAATAACTGTCATAAAAAGCAGATGTTTGGACACATTTTGTTTTTTATAATTATAAATAAATAATGTAATTTTATAATATTTTTCTGGTTTTGTCAAGTCAGTGGCATAAGTATGAGGTAATATGTATTGAAATCAAATGGAATCCAGCTGAACTGAGTCGAGAATCATATTGTATCTTCAACATCACATTGCCTGCTCTTCATCAGGTCTTCAGAAGCCTGTTAATCGCTCCTTCAGACAATTCAGGTGTCAAAGCAGAGAAACATTTAAAACACGCAGGATTGTACCTTAAAATTTTCTTTCATGATTATTGWGAGCAGTTTTCTTACTTTTACTCATATACATTTTTTTAACAGTGAAATTCATATTTACCGAAATCCTTTTCTGTTAAGGTAATTTTACTTTTACTTAGTTATTTTTTTTAGCCTGTTCATCTATTCAGATGTCCAGACGTTATGTATGTCTTTTTCCTCCCGAGATATACATATAAATACATATCCAAATGTAATAAACCCCTGAGAGGAAATTAGATTTAGAATCTGAATTAGAAATTTGTCACAGCTGCAGGAAGAGCACAGTGCAAAACATAGGTTCAAGACAGCACAGTGTTAAAAAAATAACAGGTGCAGAGCAACATGGTTTAAGACAGGTCCAAAACAAAAACAGCAGAGATGTGGTGCAAAACTGCACAGTGTAGAAACAGGTGCAAAAACAACAGCGTAAATGATGTCAGGCACATGAGTAGAATAATCTAACCACAGTTGGCAGGAAAGATTTCCTGTACCTCTCTTTTGAACAGTGAGGGTGGAGAAGTCTCATTGCTGAAGCTGCTCTTCAGATTGTCTACAGTTTTGCGGGGGGAGGGGGGGGTAATTATCTTCGATGGCCTGCAGTTTGGCCAGCATCCTTTCCTCAATTACCACCTCCGGAGGGARGAGCTTTGAGCCCACAGCAGACTCATGCCTTCCTCATGAGTGTTTTTTTTTTTTCTCAGTCTGTTGACGTGTATAGCTTTGATGCCTACCAGACCACATACTGACAGAGTATCTGGAGCGTCATGTTGCAGACTCTGTGGGATCATGAGCCCTGCGTATTACGAAACTGAACGCCTGGACTCATGAGTCACTGCAAGAAAATAAAAATATGCTGCACCAGTAGGTACTAGACTAGATTAATAGGTTTAAATGAGTAGCCTGAAGCTAATCGTATTAGCGTCAATGAGCTGAGCTGTGATTAGCAGTAATACCAGCCGTGGTTTTCTGTGAATCGGTTTTGCACTTAAGAGTCAGAGAACATTGCAGACGTATTAAATGCTGAAATAGGTGCTTCATGTTTGTGCTTYAGAAAACAAATCCTTATTTAAAAAAAACAATGCTTTTAAAGTTTTTCTTTAAATATCAATGTTGACTGACTCAGAACTTCAATTAGACAGTTTCCTAAAGAAACAGAGCAACAGAGCTGTGTGGTTTTTAGTGTACATTCCTCAGGCAGGGTCGTTGAAAATCACATGTAATGTGCAGTGAAGTGGTTATTCAATGAAGTGTATGACAATATGTTCCATTTCTCAGTATGCACAATGTGACAAACCACAAGAAGTATAAGGTATTGTTATTGTCACACGCTGACGCACAGGAGAAAACCGCCATATGAACAACGGAAAAAACAAAATCAAAATATGTCAATACATTATCCTCTCTTTCTTTCTTTCTTTCTTTCTTTCTTTCTTTCTTTCTTTCTTTCTTTCTTTCTTTCTTTCTTTCTTTCTTTCTTTCTTTCTTTCTTTCTTCAAATATAGCTTGAATTTACAGATGATTGAATTTTTGCCACAAACATCTTTTCAAAATGTCAATTTAAACGGGATTGAATTTCTCCCCGACACTCGGATGCACACAGGCCTTCAGATTACTCTCCTCGCCCACTTAACAAAACGTGCTGCAGCAGCTGGGCTGGATTTGTGATTATCTGTGGGAGAAAAGGTAAAGACTAAGTACTTGGACATACAGGCTCATCGTTCATTTTCTCACCCTCATGTGTAAAGGATGATAGCGCCAGCTGCAAACACTGAACAACCTGGAAACCCGAGCACGTGTTTGTACCACTTTTTTATTTTGTTTTCACTTTGGCATGTTTCACTGACATTCAAGCATACCCATGCTATAATTTAAAATGAAAACAGCATGCTTTTAGATTGAATGTACATTCAGCTTCAGTATATCAGAGACACATACTTATCCTGTGATTGTAAACACTGCCAAGGTAACAAAAGGGCTCCTTCGCTCTAGTGGTGTCCTGATGTTTCTGGACAAAACGTCAGAGCATAAAACGGATGCAATTATCCAGCTAAGATACATTGTTTGTGCAGCCCACCTCCTTTTATCTGTTATTGACTATGCACAAATGAACAGACACATTTCAGTTTGTTTCTGTTTTTTTCTCTAATACAAATGGATGAATATTTGTCACCAACGATACATGTTTGAGTGTAAAACATTAAAGTTAAGTGCATAGGTCTGATTATATACACTATATACATATACACATAAAATACTTTCACGTGAGTCTCATATTAAACTACTCTCTTTTGCCATTCCACCTTTAGGTGCAGTCAAAGCACTGTCCTCTTGAGTCTTCTGCCTGTTTCTGAAGCACAGGTTTAGTTTATCTGTRACTGAGTTACTAACGAGCACATACAGCACTGGGTCCACCACACAGTTCAGACTGGACAGCGCCAGTGTGACTGAGAAAGAGAAGTGTGTGTCTTGTTCAAACTGACAGTACGGGCCTTCCGGTGTTTTATCGCCACTTTTAAAGTAGACAACGGAGCGTGCAAGCAAGAGAATGTGGTATGGAGCAAAGCAAACTGAGAAGATACCAATCACCCCAAAAGAGAGCAGACGGACCTTCCTCTTAACCTGGGCATTCAGGCCGGGACTTTGGCCCACAGTGGCCAACACCTTCCAGTAGCTCACAGTCAACACCAGCAGGGGTAACATGAAACCGATGGCCACTCTTATTAGATTAAACATGGCCACAGTTTTCGGCATGGGGTAAGTCTCATAACAACGGTCTTGTTTATTCTTGTCATCATGGGCATCAGTGAGATTGTCAAAGACTAAAATAATTATGTGCATCGTCACGACTGCAGAGTAAACAACTGCACATATGACCCATGCGTAGCACGATGTACGGCGGGTCCTGAAACGCAGTGGGTAAGCCACAACCAGACAGCGGTCCACAGAAATGCAACACAGCAGGAAGATGCTGATGTACATGTTAGAGTAGTAGAAGAAGCCGGCTATGCTGCAGGAGGTGGCACCCAGTTCCCAGTGGTGGTCGTTGTGGTAATAATTTATCCAAAGAGGCATGGTGAAGATGTAAAGCAAGTCGGATATCGACAGGCAGAGTAGGAAGATTCCCAAAACATTTTTCTGTTTCACTTGTTGACAAATAGGCTTCAGGGTCAGTATGTTGAAGAAAAAGCCAAAGATAAAAGCCAGGATGTAAATAGCCATCAGGAAGTCACTGATGAAACTCTGTCCAATTTCAACACACGGAGAATCTGTGGTTTGCACTGGTGATGCTCTTGTAATGGCCATGGTGGCGTTCATGGTGTCTTCAGTTTTCACTTGTTCTCCACGTCCACCTGCAACATGAAGAAAGCCTTTTTTATTCATTGTTTCACGCAGGGTTTTTTTCTTTCTTTCTTTCTTTCTTTCTTCTGCACAGGCAGATCACATGAACACTGACTACACTTTGCAATAACCAGCAGCACATAAACCACATGTGTCAAATTCAAGGCCCGCGGGCCAAATGTGGCCGCAGGTGACTCCTGTGTGGCCCGCCAGGGGGGGCCCTCCCAATTTTTTTTTACTTAACATGAAATTTGTTTCTTATATCAATGGTAAACTTTAAATTGGTTAAATGCAACAAAATTAATTTTATAAAAATAAATTAAATAAAAATAACAAAAAAATTCCTGTCCCTGAACTGTTGGCTTGAAGTAACTGAGCAATTCAGTTGGATAGCACAGTACTAATGTCTGAAAATAAGCTGCTTTAAAGTCACCATCAAACATAAAAGTAAATCTGCCATAATGCAGCTACTCACTAGAAACTCATCAGTGAGTGAAACTTTATTTGTTTTACTTTAATAATATTTCTGTATTTATTACATATTTAGTCAGTCGTACACTTAGTGTATTTTAAACACTTATCAGTGTTTACAAGAGGACGTGTTAAAACTCGGTTTAGTCAAAGTTAAACATGAAACATCAAAGTTTATTACAAGTGGCCCTTCGAGGGCCACCATAATGCTCATGTGGCCCTCAGTGAAAATGAGTTTGACACCCCTGATTTAAACCAAACCCCAACTGGGTTAGATGTGGCTTGCCATCTTAAAAATAGTGCTGTCTTTACCAGAACTGACACACATAGACTGGCCTACGGTGTACATTTTAGGACATCCTCAGTTTTACTTCTCAGCCATCAGTTGTCAACAAAAAAAAAWAAATAAATAAATACATATATATCTATATTTGCTTTTTCTTTCTGATAATGGATGTACAGCACCTTGTGAAATCCTTTTCTGTGAAAGGCACTACATAAATAAACTTTTACTTATGAGGGGCAGATATAAGTTTTTTCTTCACTCTTTACTCTTTTCTTTCAGAACTTTTCTTTTTTATGTCCTTTCATTGTTGTACTTTGAGTGAAAATGTTTTTAATAAATTATATTTACATTGCGTAATAATTGTATTATCATTAATACCTCTTTATAATACATTCATATTAGGTATATATATATATA